GTTATGCTAATGAGTTATGCTAATGAGCTCCTGCACCTCTTTGTCTATGAATTGACCCCTGGGCTGGGCTAATAACTTTTCTGCACTGAAATGGTTGATCAAAAGCTGGCAACTAGTGCAGGTCCTGAGAGCATCACCCAACTTTCTTTTTTTAAAAAAAGAGTTAAGTTCCTAGTCCTCATGGGTTTTTGGATGAAAATGTGGGTGTTGCTCCACCTTCCTGCTGCTTCAGGACTTCCATTCTCCCCAAGCCACACACAGAGCTCTGTTAAGTTTGCCTCTTTTTTCTTCGATCTCCGTTGATCGCCCCGCTGTCACAATGTAGATCTTAATCACCTTGCAGTAGTGCCTTATTGTCTTGTTGAAAGCCCCTTTGTATGTTGATGGTACTATGTAAATAATAATCGTAATATAAACTAAACTGGCCTATTTAAGTTATATGAACATTGCACATTTCCTCTTATTTTGTATAATTAATCTTTCCGGCCGTTCTGGGACATTATGAGGGAGCACTGAAGCCCGCTATGCCAGAAGTGACATCATCACGCCAGGGATGTTGCATGGCAACACTCTAGCGTTTGGGCCAAAACTCTATGGCAACCCACCCTCTCCCAGAAGGCTCCCTCCCACCCCCCGCCAGCACAATTGGACCTGGCGACCAGGGCTCTAGTCGGGGGGGAGCTCTCAGGTACGGAGCTCCGGAAGAGAACCTCTAGGGGGGCGGGGTGGTCACGTGGTGAAGCCCCGCCCCTTCTTTACCCCGCCCTCTGCTTCGATCCTCATTCCGTTTGGGAATGAGGATGAAGCAGGAGGGTAAGTAGCCGGGCCTTCTGACACACTTCCGGTGATGTCAGGGGGTGTGGCCTTCTGTCACTTCCGGTGATGTCAGGGGGCGTGGCATATGCAAATAAGTTATGCTAATGAGTTATGCTAATGAGCTCCGGCAGCTCTTTTTCTACAACAAGACCCCTGCTGGCGACCCTAAGAGACTACTAGAACTAGAGAAAGTCACCCGTGTCAGTGAGCTCTGCAGCCAGGCTCGGGAAGCTCTGTCACGCAAGGTGTTCACTTCCGCCTGCATAAAAATTCTGGATCCAGTTTTGTGAAGTTCCCAGGTAACATACAGTAAATGGATTTCAGGCCTGAAGTGTGGTCTGAGTGTGTGGCAAAGCAATTGGCTGCTTCCCTTCATAACCAGTGAACTAGGCTTGCCAGCTCCGGGTTAGGGAAGTCCTGGAGATTTGGGGATGGGCAGGGGATGGGGGAGGGGTGGCACCTCCGCATAATGCCACGGAGCCCACCCTCCCAAGCAGCCATTTTCTTCAGAGGATCTGATCTCTGCAGTCTGGAGATCGGTTGTCATTCCAGGAGGTCTCCAGGTCCCACCTGGAACCTGGCAACCCTATCTGGTAACAAGGATTACTCAGCCCAAGCTTTAACATGTAGGGAGTAACCCTGTCTTCATGGGAGAGTGTGTGCTTGGCAGGCAAAAAACTCCCTCTGCATCTCCAGATAAGACGACCTTGGAGAGCTCTTCCCCCTGGAGTGGCGCTGACTACGTGGAACAACAGTCTGACTCCCTGTATGGCAGATTTGTATGTTTCTTCATTAATAATGAAGAGGGGGCACTGCATACATGACCCCAAGTTCAATCCCCAGCAATTGCAGCCTTTATAAAAAAAAAGTTGGGAAAGCGGACTTCATAGAGCTGGTTGGAACAGATGGTGCTCGGCTTGGTGGGCTAACCGGTGGACTAGATCACATGTCAGAGGTTTATAAAATGATGAAATATTAGAACTCAAGGGCATCCAATGAAGCTGATGGACAAAGGGAAATATTTCTTTACACAGAGAATGATTAAAATGTGGAGTTTGCTGCCAGAGGACGTTGTGATGGCCACAGGAATAAACAGCTTTAAAAGGGATTGGATAGATTCATGGAGGATAGGTCTATCAGTGGCCATGGTGACTGAGGGGAACCTCCACATTCAGAGGCACTAAGCCCCTGAATCCCGGAGCCAGGAGGCAACATCAGGGGAAGGCCATGGCCTCTATGCCCCGTTGTTGGCCATCCAGAAGAACTGTGGCTCGACAGGATGCTGAACTAGAGGGACCATTGGTCTGATTTTAGCAGGGCTCGTCTTATGTTCTTACGTCACATCATACAGTCCAAGGTAGTTTGAATTGGTCCTCATTCAAAGCATTATGATTGTTTTGTGATCTGGTGGGAGAGGTTTCCACATAACATCACAGCTTGTATATGTCAGTGAGCTATTGTGTCACTTTTGAATTCAGCAGCCAGTCAGCTCTGCGTGTGTGAACTTGGAGAGCTATTCCCCCTAGAGTGGTGCTGACTATGTGGAACAACAGTCTGACTCTGCATGTGTGAACCAGCCCAATTTGGTCCTAGTGGCCTCTCCTTCTCTTTCAGCCCTCCGGTGTCCCCTACCACAGTGGGTTACATTACAGCTCCCCCAGCAGCAGTGGCAGCTGCTGCATCGGCCACGCACACTCCGATGCTACCCCAGCCTGGTGCTCTTGTCCGGATGCAGGGATTGCCCTACAACGCGGGCATGAAGGAAATCCTCAGTTTCTTCCAAGGCTATCAGGTTAGTATGAGGTCCCTCCCCTCCCCTCCCCTCCCCTCCCCTCCTTCTCTCTCTCTCAGTGGTAAACTGCAATTTGAACCTTCCAGATGTCATGGCTTTATAGGAAGGGAAGGTTTGGGTAAGAAATTTCTCCTATGCAAACTAGCAGTGGAGTCAAACAGTTGCTAGGTGACAGACGTATTGGGCTGCTGGCTAGAAGCCATTTCCTTTGCTTGGCCAGAACCGATTTAACTATGGTGACTTTGACCGATTTCCCACAAGCAGCTGCACCGCCCTCGCTCCTCCTTTCCCACTACTTGCTGCGTGGCCGCATTTTGACCCTCAGCTTCACCCGATTTCCCCCACGTCTTGTTGACCCTCAAAAATCAGGATCAAGAAGACGTGGGGGAGATTGGGCGAAGCTGCGGGTCAAAATGCGGCTGCGCAGCAAGTAGTGGGAAATTGACACTTAAAATCAGGGGAAAGGGAAGAGCGAGGGCAGAGCAGCGGCTTGTGGGAAATCGGCCTTTGTCTTTCAGCCACTGCATTTGTGAGCAAACTTTTCTGCCAATGCTGAAAGGAGACAGAAATAGTTTTTTTTTAGGGAAAGAAGTAGCTGTCACCACCCTTAGCGGCCTTTCCGATCCAGGCAAGAACTCGTTTTTCCATTCTGTCGTCCAGTCCGAAGTATGTCAAGCTTTCTTCATAGACGTACTGAGGCCTAGAGTGGTGCCACACGGTGCTGGTAGCCAGTCATGACCAATGACAGCTTTCCATTCTGTCTCTAATCTTTCCTCCAAACCATTATCCTTACTTGGGGATATCTCTGTCGATTCATCTTTAAAAAAGAAATAAAAGGTTAACACACATGGGCGTGCAGTACATTCCTGTGGGATTTGGACTTCTCTATCTTAATCTGTTCCTTAATCTCCTCAAATGGCTCTACCTTGCTCAGGAGTTTTTTTTCAAAATAAATGAATCATTAACTCATCCTATAGTGTATTCTTGAGCCTACCCACAGCTGTCTAATTGAATTAGTTTCTCACTGTTTGTCATGCAAAGAGGGGAGTTCCATCTATGGGGGGGGCTTTTGTTGCCATTGGCCAACGTTGATCGCCAGGAGATTGGAGGGCAGTTGGGGTATCCAAGAACATTGTCCTGACAAAGCCATTGTTGTGAAAAAGTTCATTGGCTCTCTTTGGATTGTCCCGTTTTCTAAGTCACAAGAGCCTCCAGCAGTGTACTGCGGATCCACGGCAGTTCTGAGGCCGTATTAGCTGTTACTAGGGTTGCCAACCTCCGTATGCAGCCTGGAGATCTCCTGGAATTACAGCTGGTCTCCGGGCAATGGAAATTGGTTCTCCTGGAGAAAGTGGCTGCTTTGGAGGATGGCTTCTGTGGCATTGCATCCCATTGAGGTCTCTCCCCTTCCCAAACCCTGCCCTCTCCAGACTTCACCCTCAAATCTTCAGGAATTTTCCAAGCCAGATTTGGGAACCGTACTGTTTACTGAGCACTTTGCACATCGGGAGGATAAACTCTGAAGCTTCCACTGTAGTGATACTGAAGCATGCTTTGGTGAGGAGAGGGAGTACCCTAAGACACCCTTGTCCCAAAATTCTACAATGTCTACTTAAAGATATGATATTAATGATGCCAAGCAGAGGTAGAGCAGGTCCCTGGTTCCGTCTCTGGTGGGAGGGCTCTTGGCCTTCAGGGCTGGGGAGATTTCTTGAGTTGAGCCCTTTGAGGACAGTTGCAGGACATCAGCGGGCTGTGTGGTCCAACGTCCTGTTCAGGACAAGTAACCCAAAATACGGGTTTAGAGTATGACTATAATTATGATCCTCTAGTTCTTCCAAGGAGCTCAATTTGATGTGCCTCTCTCCTCCCTGCACTTTTATCTTTGCTGCAGCCCTGTGCTGGCTCTTAAGACAGTAACTGTCCCAATCTTCCACTAAAGCTCATTGGGGATTGGAACTCTGCTAGCCCAGCCCACTACCTGCTGTACCACACTGTTACTGACAGTGCCCTCAAAATAATATCCTACAGAGCAGAGTTTACAATATTATCTTTCTCTTGCCTGCCAGTGTGGCAAATCTTAGGAATCGGCTGCTGAATACAATTTCTGAGTGAAAAGATGTATCGGGATGGCGGTGGTTTGCCCTCTAGAGGGATGAAAAGCTAGGTTCCACTTGAAATTAGGGTTGTCAGGGCCAGGTTGGGAAACTCCTGGAGATTTGGGGCTGGAGCCTGGGGAGGACAGGGACCTCAGTGGGGTACATTGCCACAGAGTCCACCCTCCAAAGCATCCATTTTCTTCAGGGGAATTGATCTCTGCAGTCCGGAAAAGAGCTGTAATTCTGGGAGATCCCCAGGTTAGCTTCCAATGCTCCCTCTAATCTGTGGAGTTTTGTGAGCAAAAATTCTACTTTGTGAGCTACTGGCATTAAAGTTGTGAGCAAGCAATTTGGCTGCTGCATCAATTAGTTTGCTCTGGAGCCATTCTTCCTGAGCTAAGACAAAAATGTGTGAGCCGGAGGTTAAAAAACTGTGAGCTAGCTCACACTAACTCAGCTTAGAGGGAACACTGTTGGCATCCCTACTTCAAATAGGTAAAAATTGTGGCCATCCTCAACAAATGGGACACAGTCTGGGTGGAAATCATATACCCAGTTTTAAGATTTCTTGCTTTAAATCATCCTGGAAAAGTTTGCAGTCCGCTTTGCTGCAGGACGTCTTAAGTCTTGGGTGTCCTTGTACAAAAGAAAAAGGAGTGGCTGGTCTAAGATTCTGACAGCAGGGCTGTCCTTGGGGGCGTGCTTTGTGGCTTCAGCCTTTCACATAAGTAAATATTTGCTCAGCCTGTGCTGAACTTCCGTTATCTCATCGTCCTGCCTGCAACTAAAAAGGAGCTTTATTGTGTTTAATCTTTTGGCTTTTTCGACAGACTTGATGGCCAGATGTGTTCTAAAGCCTGTAAAATGGGGTGGGGGTGAAGAAGCAACGAAGGGGGGATGCGGTGTACTGAACCCGATGGCAAAATGCCAAAGGCATTAGCAATCTCTATTTCTCCCATACCGGCACAGGAGGCCTCATTGTTGCTGACTTCACTAGGATTTCCAGGTTTCCTTTAGACTTGAACAAAGATGTCTTCTCTTCTCTGAGTTTCTTTAGAAACCTGACACCTTACATGGCCCCACAGAGTCTCATTCCTAAGCCTTGTCAGAATCCTCTCCTCGTTGCCTGTCCTGCTAGAGCTTTCTTGTGATGCCCACAAGAGAGAGAGATCCTAGTATGTCCTTTCCACCTTCCAGTGTAAAGTGGAGGATCAGGTGCAGAACTCGGTGACCCCACAAGCCTCAGCTTTGATTTCGGGAAAACAAGCTTCTAGCCCATATAGTTATCAAAAGCCATTTTTAGCAGTTACCTTGGAACATCTCAGGGCTCCACGGAGGCAGGAATACTAGCCCTAGATTTCTTTATCCATACAATCTGTCTAGCCATCATTTTCCAAAACAAAAAAAATCTTCCTGTTGCAAGGGGATTCTTCAATCCAAAAAGAAATTCTCAGTGGTTCAGCATCCCAAATATCAAACTTGCAATTAAGCATGGTAGTTGAGCAAGTGTGTGTCAATCTGTTTGCCCGCATAATTTCGTTTTGTGCATTCTTGGCACCATTTTTTTTTAAATCCAGCATTTACTGCAGAGAATATAGATTTGAGTACCATAAAAGGCATCTAGGAATAGCCCCTTCAGATGAAAGCGAAATCACATATGAATGTAATGTTGATTGACAGCTGCAGCTGAATGCATGAAGCGTCTCATGCTTGGAGTGATGTCTGCACAGACCGGCCCAGTTCAGACGGAATGCAGAACCGTGGTTTATTTTAACAGTGGTTAGTTTGTGAAACCAGGATCCAGCTCAGAGACAATCTTGGTTTGCTACAGCATATTTTAGTGTGATCCTTTCCCCCCCG